AAGAGTATAAATGGGTTTTATAAGCTTTAAAGATGAGCAAGAAAGGTCCCCAGTTTCATTTTAATCCGATTTCATTAAAATTTCCGACATTTCATGTAACGTTTGACAGTGTAACGTAGAAGCGCCATTACTAGGTTCGAGACCCTTTTTCAAAAAATTTATGTATAAAAAAATTAATAAAAAAACCGTTGAACGAAAAATCTTGGAGGCATTCCTATAGATAACCAAAAAAAAACAGAACCATGCCTAGAAGCCATACCTAATTTTTTATCCATACCTCGTTGCTTCGAAATGTAAATTTAAAAATTTTATTTACAAAATTTTTTCAATTTGCGTAACTACTGTACAAAATCCACTTAACGCTTACTATGCTGCCGCGACTTAAAGAAAGGAAATAATAATAATGGAAATGATTAGTAATCATAGTCATAACTTTTTTTTTTTTTTTGTATCTAGACAAGCGTTACGAAGACTTTCAGGTGTAGTAGATGACATTAAAACACAATCTTGAAAATGATTTTATGCACCGTATCTAATATTGCTTTTTTTTTTTAACGAAGAAAAAAATAATATATGTGCAATAAAAATTTGAACCATAGAATACATATGTTTCCATAAAATATTGAATTCGATCTACGTATACAATATTTGGCAAAAATTGTCGAATAACGGTAATTTGGCAAATGAGCACGTGTAGCCAATCATTTGTCAAATTACCGTATTCGACAATTTGCCCAATACAGCAATATCGGTGTTATCCGGCAATTTATGATCATGATTGCTCGCTGAGTTTTAATTTTGAATACTGGAATAAACATAATTACATCGTAACACATGAAAAAAATAACAAAAAGAATTTTTTTCATGATCATATGAGTTTGCCGCGTTACTCTTATCGTTATTATTACATATTAATCCATTGATCATTCGTATGTGTGCGTTATTTTGAAAAACCGGTGATCATCTCGAATTAACGTGCAAGCAAGCTAATATAGCATATAATTTATTGGTGGAATATAATCCTCTATTGATGCATTTCTTCTTGTGTTCAAGGGAAGACCTGTTATCGGGTTTTTATTATATTTTGTACCAGACATATATTCCCTAATAAATTAATTATGATTGTGTCGGGTGCAAAATATAATTGAAAGCCCGATGACAGGTTTTCTCTTGAATACACTCATATGTAGATTATTTACTCAAAAGTGCGCATTTTATAAATGCACTTTGCCCAAAAACCTGCAATTGGTCTTATTTCGAAATAATGCACATGAGCGTATCCGAAATAACGCGCAAGTCAATTAACTACGTATAGGTGGGCATTATTTTTCGCTCATATAGTACTATTAAAAAATTATATAGAATAAGATGAATTTGTTATTTCTGTCCTTAAATCTATGTCTAAAATATATACAGTCAATTATAGCAGTTTGTTTTACAAATGTCCAAACTTCATTACTATGAATTTTAAATTGTCATTAAAAACTGCATGATTGTATAACAAATATTTATGGTTTTTTTTAATCCCTGGCCAACCCTGTCCACGAAACTTTTTTCTTTTTACTACACATATGTAATAGTTATATCCTGGGTAGTTGGGTATAAGCGGAATGAAATTTCCGCTTATACACATAGTACCCCAGGGTATAACTGATTTACACCCTGCGATCTTGATATAGTGACCAGGCCAGGTTATAAAGCAAGATACATCACGTGATTTTCCGTTTCCAACGCCCAATCAAAAAACGTGAATTTTTTGTTTACACGAATCAGTCCGACGGAACGAAAAATGTAAGAAACGCGAAATTACCCTAATTTCGTCTAAGCTGACTAGGGATGGGCATTATACGGTATAATATAATTTGGTATAAATACCAGGTTATTATACCGTATAATAACCGTATAATAACCGTATATAGGTATAATTAGTATTAAGTAAATCACGTGATTAATTTATAATCGTTATCGAATTTCAATAATTGGTATCGAATTTATTACATATTATAAATATATACAGTATGACAATTCAAGACTAAACCAGAATATTTAGCCACATCTACCGGTATCATGCTACTTTATTTTATGTTAATGTAGTAATGAAAATATATCAAAAGAAGATATGGGAATTATCGTTATTGTTATTTATAACAATTTGAAAATTTTACTATACTAATACCCATTGCATTTATAAAACTCGCTATCCTCCATTTTATTAATATAGTATTATTATAAAATCATTACGCCATTAATTTCTTGTATCTTGATTCCATAATATATTGTCATCATCATCTAAATTTAACATTAATGAATTATTATTATCAATATCAATATCAGATAAATAAATTTGTTTGATCATTTCTTCAATTCCTTCGCCAATTCCTTTTTTATAAATCATATTCTCTATTTTTTTATCTTTGTTATCTATTTCTTCACAATTACTGGTAATTTCTTGATTATTTTCATTATCATAATTAATTATAGTTTCAATCCTGTTATACTGCAACTTTTTAGAAAAATTATGTACTTGTAGATTTCTATATATATAAACTAATTTTTTGACTTGACTATTATGTAAGTGATTATGAAGTTTGTTGTGAATAAACCAAAAGTAGAAAAATTCTGTTTAGCTGCAGCAGATGATGTTGGAATTGAGAGAATTTTTATTGTAAGCTGTTTAAGACTACTATTTGGTCAAGATTCCTATCATATTGCTGGAGTAAGTTTAGTAGCTAATTCCCAAATAATATTATCATCATATGGAGAACTTTTGTTTTGAAATTTAACTATTTCAATGAATAACTCTACTGATTTTTCTTGTCCAAATTTTTGATTTGTATATGTTGTAAATGCATTATACTCTATAGGCTTTATGTTATGAATTCTACTTTCTTCCAAAAATCATGGGTCAAGCATATATGCAACCATTATAATAATATGATAAATATAATTCCACCGCTCCTCTATAAGTACTTGAATCTCATTAGAAAAATTACAAGAAATTTCTTGAATTGAATTCATCATTTTTTTAAAATTAGAATAGATTGATGAAAGTGTAGATCTATCTGATTCAAA